TACTGCCTTATAAGACCGCCGCTTTTCTTCCATGAAGCTGTTATAAACCTCCGACAATTTTGGCGGGTAATCGCTTTCGTTGCTGGCCAACGTTAGAAACATGGATGCTTACTCCCGGATTCCAGCCCTTCAATGGGTTGATTGGCCTCAGATATCTATTCACCAGCTCCGGTAGCCCTCCAGAAATAGAAGCATAACTTTCGATGGATTTTGGATCATCACTGCAAAGCCTCCAACATGGGAATGATTGATATATTTCGAATTAGTGGCTTCGCCATGTACACAGAAATGCCAAATCCAAAACTTCAAGTCCCTCGTACTCTTTAAGGCTAGCAGGTTGCCGAAACGTTATGTGTTCTTCGAGTGCTTCCAATTTTGTCCTTTGGAGTACTCCATAAACATAACTAACTATCGAGATTATGTGCGCAAATCTAACTAGTTGTAAAGTTCATAAATTCGAGGGTAACTATCAGCAAATCCCCCAAATAACTATGGATTATTCTTTGGTTTCCTGTCAACTATTTCCCTGGACTCGTTGTTGGCCATTTTCTTGCCTTGGGGAAATTTACTTCCCTGTCCGAATATGGAAAAGCACTCCAACCCACTACTAGGCCTGCCTAAGGCGATCAAGTGCTGTTATTTTGATTTTGATATGTAGTTATAACTACCCGCTTGAAGAGAAGTTAGAGAACTGATTCAGAAAACACCAGCAAAAGGGTTTATTTTATAATTTGGATTCTGAAATGCGATTCAAACAACCATTCAGTGGTATTATTCTCCACCAACTTAAGTAATTTGATAAGAGTTGATCAATTCTACCAGCCTGGAAGACTCATGCGAGAAGTTGATCGGCGTGGCACTGAGAACCTGACATCGAACACTAGGGACACGTCAGTCTTGAATATCAAACTAGTTCGATAGGATATCTTACCGTTCAGTGTCCTGGAAGTTATCTAATTTGGCTCTGCATTTGAAATTCCACATTTTGCAGTTGGCATCAAGAATGGCTTCACTGGCGACTTTATCATCGTTCTCTTTCATCTCCATGAGAGAATTGGCCGTGATTCCCATGAGAGATCGCCCAACTTCATCGAAGCAATTGACCCATAATTGCCCTGTATGATCAGAGAGGTTTGCAGACAGGATATACCGGTATTCAGGCTGGGGTGTTGACTTTTCACAATGCTCACATAGCCATTCTCCCGAGTCTAGCTGAATCACCTTTTTGTTACACCGCTCTTGAACACAAGCTGGATAACAGATGTTGTCTTGCTTGATGAAAACTACAGTCGCTCTTAGAGCAAAGTAGTCTGGTTTCTCCGACATTCCAAGCTGTTCATCTCTAACCTCGACAATTGTTTTAGGAGGATCTTGCCGGCTGCCTGTAGCTCCTGTGGCATTTTCGCTGAAAGCATGAAATGTAAATTGGTCAAATTTACCCTGCGCATCATACCAACCCTTTAATTTGTGGGCCTCTTCGATATCAGGGTCGGCAGTGATAGTTCCTGAGCTCAAGAGGCTCAAAGACCTGCCTCCAAAATCAGATACTTTGACTCCTTTAAAGGCGATTACGGAGTCTGGCATGACATCAAAAGTATTTGCCATGTTGCCCCAGATTGTCAATCGAACAGAAAAGCCCGTATCATCGACTAACGTAAGCTCACGCTTAGTATACCGTTTTCCTGTCGCCTTCGAAGGAACCTCCGTGACTTGATCGACACTTTTTAGAACTCCCAAAAAGTCAATAGTTGTTCCTTTTTCTACCGATTGCAAGCCCCCGATATTCGTAAAGTTGAAGCGCATTTGAGGAACATCATCATTATTCTCAGCCTAAATGAAGAGGTTAGACTTTCATATGCATCTGAGGTTTAGAAGCGAGCCGGGCACTACCTTCTCAATGACAGTATCCTTTTCAAAAGTAAGTTCATAATCGTTATTCACATTGCTAAAGCCTCTCTTTGCCATCTGGACACGACAAGGGCTAGATATGTAATAAACGCTGCCTTCCTCGAAAAGTGGGTAAAGTAAATCACACTGTTCTTTGAAGGCTGTCGCTCGAATTTCGCCGCTGTCGTCTAATAAATTGACGTTGAAGAGCCTTCCCTCTCCATTTCTGTTGTGCCATGTTTTTATAGCAGATTTATTCGTACAACGGGCTTTAATTGTCCACTTATGAGAGTATGGCGATAGGGCCTCGATCGGATAGATGTTAGCATGTGCGGGAGCCATGGTTGGAACGCTTGCTCGCTGATGGTTCTGCTGCCGTGGTGCTGAGTGTTGCGGTGCCATGCCATAAAAGCCATTGCTTGAAATGGTTGTCGTTGCGGGCGTCTCGGCTTCGGGAGCTTTCATCTCAAGGGGTTTCGGCTCCCCGAGCCTTTCAGATTCCCCCAAGTCTTCTAACACATCGAGATCTAGGACGATTAAAATTCTAATATAGTCAGTCTCATTGCCGGCTAGAGTATGAGGAAATGCTGACCGTTTGCCCTTGACAGAATTTGCCTGGAAAGATTTAAGCCGAACAAAACATCCCCGCCGGAGTGCCCCGCTGATAGCAAGGTGGTTTAATGCTAAGTCCGACATTGGTAAGTATATCTTGTTGTGACGGGAAAGAAAGAGATGGATATACAGCTTGCAAGCATCGTTTGCACAAAGGTTGATATATCACTGAAAACTGCACGGTATCGATCGCGCCGCCAGATGGGCAG